AAAATAAAAATAATATATATATATTATTTTTAAATTCAATTTAAATATACATAAAAAAGGCAGATCTAAGATTCAGGACGGTGCATTTTATTATTAGATACTGATTAATTTTCAATATTCATTGATTTCTTTACACCGTACCCTTTTAAAAGGCACATTTATGTTTATATTATTTTTATTAAATTTATTTCTTTGTAGGAGTAAGATTAAATTTAATCTTACTTTTATATTGATTTTTAAGTCAGGTATGTATATAATAAGAACTTATACATAACTTACATTGTTTCTCCATGGCAACAAAAATGTCCAATTGAAAAATACTTTTGATCAAAAGAAATTTTATAAATTAATTTTATTGTTGCTTACAACCATCTTTCACTCTGCGTTTATGCTTTTCTTCATGAGATTGAGATGGTGATTGCATTTGATTTCTTCGTTGTCCTTGTATAGGCATATAACATGGGACATCGTCATTCAAAAGTTCTTGTGGTGGGGTAGGTAATACATATGTAGGGCTTACTGAACTGCTTGAGCTATTTGAAGTATTTTTATGCACATTTCCATTATATGTAGGATCAATAATTGTTGCCACATTTTGCACTTCCCTCAAATTTTCTATAGAATCATCTAATGTCTGTATTTCTTCAGGATCAGGATATTGTGGATAATTTAACGTTTGCTGTACTCTAGTCTTATTTTGCATACTTATTAATTCCAACCTATCAGGCCGTTGAGGTTTTTCTATAAGACTTTGTTCTTCTAATTCTTGAAGTTGCTGTCGTTCCAGCTTCCTTTGTCTTGCCCTTTGCCTTGCTTTTCTTATTTTTGCACGTTCCTTTTCTTGAAGCATTCGTGCTAGTTCAGCATCTTGTGCTTCCATAGCAATTTTCTGATCTAATAGTAATTGGTTATTAATGGGACTATCATGGTTATCTATAATATTTTCTTCTTCTTGTTGCAGCTTTCTTGCTAGTTCCTTCATTTAAAAAACAGATGAAAATGAAATTATGGTAATGAATATTATGGATATAGAATTAGGATATGTTTAGAAATACTTCATCTTTTTCTTCTTGAATGTGTCGTTCAATTTCAAGCTGTGCAGCTTCATCATCCAACCTTAATTGCAACCTCATTTGTTCTTGCAATTCCCGTTCTCTTTGTCTTTCTTCTCTTTCCAAGGATAATGCAATCTGTCTTGCAACAAGAGCGTCCCTTTCCTCTCTAAATGCAAAAATGTTTCAATCTAAAATAAATAATTGGAGGATAAAATTGAGAATGTAAATACTAACTGTTGCTGAATATAGGATTGGTATCTGAGTGTTTCAAGCTCTTGTTCAACTTTTGCTCTTGGTAAGTCCTCTCTAACTTGTGCATTGCGAACTTTGTTACTAGTGTAATGCTCCCTAACTATAAAATATAGTATAATAAATACAATAACAAGTAAAATCAACAATATTTTATAAATAATTTTATAATACTCTTACTTTCTTCGTCTTGAAGGCGATACGCTAGAGCTCCATCTTCATGTACTAACCATTCACGACATACTGTACGTTATTAAATGGGAAATTATTAAAGATATCAAACTAATAAATAATTCTAACTAGTAATAACAAAAGACATTTAGAAAAGAGATTATATACCTTCGTTTACTCGGCCGGCCTTTGGCAGTGTATCCGAGCTTAATACAGATTTCGCCATTTCTTGCTGAATAATTGCTGTCTTGCGAAAGGATATTTGTTTCAGCTAACTTTCTTGTTTACAACCACCTTACGGAAGACATACGTTGTTTTCTCTCCATCTTGAATAGCAATGAATATTATACAGTCATGTGTTAGTGCTGTTCCCAACTTGTGCATTTCTCCTTTCATAGTGTGTGTAAGAACGTTCATAGTACATTGAAGACGTAGTACGAGACAAGAGTACACACATGACCGACACACTTTCGTCTTAACTGAATATACTTCACTGAATATAATTAGTGACTATGCTACTGTTCATAAATTTCAAACAATTTTGATAATGATATTTAATGCTGCTTAATAGTTATTTAGTATTAATAGTTGGCTATTAAATCTCTGTATATTTTTCGTTTCGATGATAATGTTGAAATTGGAACAATAGTAGAAATTAAGTTCATAAAAAAATTGTTTTCAAAACTATTAGGTTAAATCTATTACTACATCATGTCAGATTGCTATGTCGTAGTAACAGTAATAATGGTAGTGCCTCTAGTAAGAGTAGTACATTGGTAGTAAAGTGAGTGTACTCACGTTGAACGTTAAAACTACTGAGAAGTGGGTAGTAGAGTTTTTTGCATTAGTGTCACTTTCAAATTTAACAATACCATCTGTTCGGATAAACTGTTCGCACATAATAAAAAGGAATGATAAATTTGTCTATTTAATGTATATCTTAACTAATTGTTCTAATAATATTGTTCATTATTTGTAATTTAAATTATATTAATGAAAGAAGTTGCTGTATATGAATCAAAGTGTAGCTTATCTAAGCAAACTATATATTATAGGAATTATTTAAGCGGCTGTTCAATTAACCAAGAGATTTTCGTATAAGTTATATTACGGCTTGGTTAAGAAGAAACTTTTTTTTACATGAAGTAAACATGATTTGAGATTGTTGATTGAATTATGCATATTTTTAGCATATGTATTAATGAGACTAACTTCGTACACGATTCTTTAAAATGTAAAAGTTTTCAATGAAATTTTCGTCTCCAAATAACGATAAATTAAATACGTATAATATTGATAACAAGATATAATAATTTTAACTAATTATGAAAATTTATTTTATCGACAATATTATAATAAAAATTATTTTAATTTTATTATTTTATTATTTAAAGACTATTGAATAATGTTAATACTTCGTCGTTATGTTTGTTTTAGATGTGGATACCTTATTGATTGGAATTTTTATTGAATATACATAAATTATATAATCACCGAGTATAATAAACAAATTTTATTATTTCTTTTCAATTTCCTTTATATATATTTTTTACAATAATATTTAATTAGATTTTATATTAAAAATTATATCTTACACTTTTTCATTATATAGCAACTTTTAAAATATCTCTCAATGTCAAACCTCAGTTTTCGAAAATATGTATTATAGATTTTCAACTCAGTTATTTCAAATGGATCATTCGGATAAATATTATCTTGTTTTCATTGTTATAATTATTTATTTTTAATACAATTTTTTTAAGGAATGTAGAAAAGCGTTTAAAAGAATAAATAGACTTCGTGCAATAAGTAAGAATTAACAATTGCTTTAATTCGCGCTGTGAAATTAAATTTCGATTGAAAATCTGGTATTTATATCTTTTTTTCTTCATTTCGTTATTTCATTACCGTTTGTACAGAATTGTAGCATTATTATATCATTATTATTCTAAATATTTATCATAGTACAACTGTTTTCCCTTTTTACCCCAAAATAAATGTCTAGACTTCAAAATGAAATCATCATCACTGCTTATAATTTCATAGTATATCTTCTACTAATATTTCTTTCTCTTCCACTATTTTATAATAATTAGTATCAAGTTTTTTAAGGTGCGAAAACAATACAGTTGCAGAAAAAGTAAAATTCGGAAAATCTTATTAAGAATTCTATGTATCTACAAAATGTATTGACGTGTTTTTCCAAAGAGTATACGTTGCCGATTAATTTTAAATGTTAGACTAGTTTTAAATATAAAGTAGTTTCAGGTATTAATAGTTGGTAGTTAGAAAGTCACCGGTATTTCTGATTTCGATGATTTTTAAATATGTTATAAAAATTAACAGTTTGAACAATTTTTAATGAAGTTCTAGATTGATTAGGCTCTCACCGATTTGTATGATATATTAAAAGAATCAAATTTTTGATAATTTTTTCTTTTACTATATTCTTGGGTTGGTTTTAGTTTCTGAGGTATTAGAAAAATACCATTTGAGTCAAAACAATGTAGAAACCATTAGTTGTTGAAAAATTTGAAAAAATGATCAATTAGAATAGGATTAAAGTATTTCTCTTATCTTTTTTGAGTACAGAGCATTATTGCAGTAGATGGATTAACGCGTGAAAAAAGTCGGTACTGAATCTCAGTTTATCAAGATCAAGTAATTAATTATTTTACATATAGATGTTACTAATCATTTTTTTCTCGTGTTAATTAAACTGGCGTAGAGCCGCACTCGCACCTTCCAGCGAGGACTGGAGAAATAAACCAACCCTAATCTAATTAACCATTTTTCTAAATTTTTTGGCTACTAATAGTTTACAAGCTAATAATGGCTTCAGGGGGAGGACGGTACAAATAATCTGCCGAAGGACAGATATTAATGGTTCGTATGATTTGATGATTCGCCATGTAGTGAGCATACAAACTGTTTGCTTTCGTCTCACGAATGCACACGTGTGAGGAAAATTTAATGCATTAGAAGTAATCTTTTGTTGTTAATATCTCAGAAAATACGATCGACCGCCAATTTTTTTCAAAGAAAAAGATTTGAAATAATTTCAAGATCATCAAAATTAGTGAGGTCCTAACAGTTTGATAATTGTACTCCTTTTTATGTTCCCCAATCTACAGATATTTCTTCTTAATACTAAAATATAGAATTTAAAAAAAAAGACGAAGAAATATAAATTGATTTATATGTAAGTCACTAAAGTAAACTTTTACTTTTAGAATTATACAAATTTTGGAAATAAATGTAATAAATCTTATTTCAACTTTTAAATTGTAATTTAATGTTTCCAAATGTTTGATTGAATGTAATGCCAATAAAATGGAAGTAAATTATTTTAGCAATGTGAAATATATATAATATGATGTTATAATTAATAATATAATACATGTCATTATTTAAATAATAACTAAACAAATTTTATTTTTAATTTTTTTAATTGTTAAAATTATTGAAAAATGCCTTAAAAAATAGAAAATCGTATAACTGAAAAGAAAGTATTAGGGTATTTAATGTTAAACAGTAAGTAAAATGTGTACAAAGTATGATTAAATATAATTTTTATTAATTTTTGAATAAATTTTCTTGATTTTTATGAAAAAGTAGTAACTTTATTGTTAAACATTCAATTGATTTTGTTTAGTTACAATATATTTTATTCTTTAATAAGTATAATATTAGTATCTGTACAAATAGGATCGATCGTTTGTAAAAAAATGAAATTTAATTTTTCACATTATTTACTGTTACTTTTCAAATACAAAAGATAACGCGGTTTACAATTCGCGAAATTTGTATAGCACAAAAAAATAATATTCGCAAAGTTTATGGAGAACTGTATTATTTAACTTTATTCACAACTTATAGTGAATTGAGGTTAAGAATTAACTCGAATTAATTTTCGATAGGAATGGTGAATTATTTAAATAAGAGAAAACTTATATAAACTTAAAAAAATGCTGTGTTATGATGGGAAACTCAGTATTTTTTGTTTTATCAGTGCTGGTTTAATTGCAATTCTATTAGAAATAATATTAAGGTTAGAATTTAACGTTCTTCAAGCATATATCAATAAAATTTGGCTCGCTCATTTATTTCAGTATGGATTTTTAAATATATTTTTACTTCTTGGATTTCGTGGCTTCTCTTATCAGGTATTTAAAATACTATTATTATATTAGCTTATGGAAATTATTATTTATATTTATGGAAATTATTAAGGCACTGAATACTTATATTTAACAGGTAGCTGTAAGAGCAGTTTTCTTAGGATATGTTTTTGGTATTGGAAGTGTTGTGTCCTTTATTGCACCATCTTCCTGGCAGATGTTTGGAATATATATTACCGTACTTGCGATGTTTCATTATTCAGAATTTTTAAGCATAGCTTGGATAAATCCATCTACTCTTTCCATTGATAGTTTTATTTTAAATCATAGCATATCTTATGGAGTGGCAGCATGCTCCAGTTGGATAGAATTTATTGCAGAAAGGCAATATTTTCCTGTGATGAAAGAACCTTCTTTTATATCATATTTTGGGTTAATACTATGCATTTGTGGAGAGCTTTTGAGAAAACTGGCAATGTTTACTGCCAAACACAACTTTAACCATATTGTACAGAGTGAAAAGTTGGACAACCATGAATTGATTACCTATGGTGTTTATAAAATTTGTAGGCATCCTAGTTATGTGGGCTGGTTTTACTGGTCTATAGGAACACAGGTAATAATCTTTGATGTTAAGCAATATTTTATTGTAACACTGCCAATAATTTTTGTATTTATATCTGTAGCTAATACTTCAAAATCCATTTTGTCTCTTTGCATACACTGTGGTATCGTGGAAGTTCTTCCATGATCGTATTTTAATTGAAGAAATCACATTGCTTAATTTCTTTGGATATGACTACGTAAAATATCAGAAAGAAGTTGGTACAGGACTGCCTTTTATATCTGGCTATAAATTGAATTTATAGCAGCCAGTATGCGTTTAAAATACTCATACTGTGTTAATTTCTCAGGTGTATTTTTAATATTATTTATATTAATATTCTCTTTTATTGTATTGTAAATAGTAAAGAAGTAGTTAAGAAAGGTGTTCTTAACAAAATTATATTTATTGTCCCATTTCATTTTGAAGAATTATTCATATAACAATAAACTACACTTTCATGTATGATTACTTTCAGTTGGATTATACATTTCTTTTTATACTTATACTTATTATATTTATGTGTATATATAGACATAATGTAGAATAAAAAAATGCTGTAACTAACATTTGCATTGACATTCAGAAAGCATTCATTCGATGTTGAATAATAGCAAGGTTCTATAGATTCAAGCGTCATACTTACAATTTTGTTATGTCTGTACATGATCATTTACAATATCTTAATATCAATAAAGCTGTTTGTTATATTAATGTAAAAATCAAACTTATTTCAACAAAATATGGCCTATTTATTTTATTTCTTTGTGAAACCAAAGAATAGATTTAGATTAAAACTACTGAGACAACATGTTTTACAAGAATTATGTTATTGCATTTTGTTTGTTATACAAATCTAGAAATGTCCATAATTGATTAGTATATGGGAGAATCTGCATTTCTTAATTGACAATTTAATAGGCAGACATATCAATTAAAAAAATGGAACAATAATATGACATTATTTTATGAATAAATAAATAATAATAATATGTAAGTACATCTTTTGTCATAACTTTCATTTGTTCCATACTTATTTTTCTTAATTGGATTGTAATTATTATTGATAATATGATATTTCCTTTGACAAACAGTGGTTATATAGAATGTAAGAAAACGCTAAAATTTTGGAGACTAGTTATAATTATTTACATCTTTTGACATATTTTTATCGAATATAAATCTTAGAACTAGCAACACATCTTACTAGCACCGTATTTTAACTATGTCAATATATGTAAGTAACTTTATTTCATTAATATCACATAAATGGAGACCAAAGTGTTTTGATAACAACAAAAAAATGATGTAGAAGTCATTAAATGGATATTAGTAGGGCCTATCATTGGTCCAGGTAAATGCTGAAACAAAAATATTACTCTGGAATATAAGTTTTTAGTTTTGTATATTGAAAGTAGGACCTTTTCTTCAATTCGGACAATTTGTTACAATATTGCAACTGAGATCACAAAAGTTAATAGAACCATTGCTAATATTTGTTGAGATAAAAATCGATGAAAGATATGGGGAATTAACGAATCAAATAATGGCAGTGAAAACTTATAATATAATATAATATTATTGTATTTATTTCCAGTCGACCCAACGTTCATATTTTGAACGTGATAGTTAATTAAAAAATATAAAATAAAAAATAAATAAATAAGAAAAAGTGGTAAATGAAAAAAAGATCTATCGTATTTTGTACAAACAAAGTACCGTATAAAATGTAGTTAATTCGGTTATAAAATGTTATCAGAAACATATTCTATGCATGTACAGATATAAAACTGTTTATGTATCATTTGCCGCGGTTACTTTTACAATACAACTAATAAATATTCCTTAACATAAATAAATTTCTTCTATATCTTTCTGAATTCCAAGGTCACCTCATCTCGGAAGTCTATCGTCCAAATAACTATGAAATAAAAAGAAATAGAAAAGAAAATAGTTATCAAGATATTAGTAATCCTTAATTATAAAATATCACTAATGATTTACCTTGCTCACAATGTCAATGAAGCATTAAACAATTTACAAATTGGATTAATTCCGCGCGTTACCACTGAATACGCGTTTCTTCATTATTAAATGCGCTATTTATGAAGGAACACATACTCATTTAATAAATAACACTTAACTCAATATACATTTCATTGCATTTATAGTGTCTATGCATAATACTGTGAAAAGCACGCTTTGCTCTCTAACATCCATAGTAAAGGCAAGCAGATTTTGAAGTAGGATTAATAACGAGTAATGTTTGATACTATAAGTGGCTAAATTTGCCGCTGGTTTTGGGTGGATTATATTCACAGGAGGTGGAGGAATAAATGCGTCGAAGATATCTGTATCTGCATTTGTAAATACCAAGGAAGAGGGGATCCACCTTGCTCTAAGCAGCATGAAAAATTAATAGTCCATTTATATAATTTTCATGACCTTTTCCTAATACAATAATAAAAAATTATTTCATTTACCTAGTACACGGTGAAACATTTTTCCCTCTTATAGCTTTTTCCCCAATATCTATGGCTCCAGAATCTTGCACCTCCATGGTATAAATGCAGCCAGAAAATCCTTCTTGGTATTTTCCATAAGTCATTGCATAATCAGGCACTCCCCCTAGGTATACACTACCTCTAGTATTTAGATCTTGCTGTGTTCCATAACTGGCACCACTCTCCATGTGTTCACCATTTAATTCAATGCTACCATCACTTCCCTGGCGTTTTAAAATTATTCTGTGTCTTTCTCCATCATCTACTTTTTGTGCAGTGACGCGGATTACTACTGGGCCAGTGCCTAAATCATATTGATACTCTACATAGCTGGAAAAACAAAAAATCAATTAAATATTTATTCTAAAAGCAGTCAAATATTTTTCGATTAAGTAATCATATTTCTTTCAATTAGTACTTATGAATGTATTTGCTTTACAATCACTTATTCAAAAATTATTGTATTTAATTAAAACCGATTACCCATCAACCACGGCAAGAGCCATATAGTGATCAGGATTTAAATCATTTGGTGTTTGTCCATGCCACATAATTAGTCCTCTAGTTTTGTTTGTTGAAATTTCAAAGCCCAACACTTCACGCTCCTCTTCGTGTGTCATTACAGACTTATCCAACTCTAACCAGCCATTTCCTTTGAACGCAACATCATATGTTATCTCTGTCACTGGAAAATAAAAAAAAATTAATGAAATTATAGTATGTCATACTATGACATATCAATTCTTTGAAATATTTACATTTTTCACAATTCTGCCCATTGTAACCTAGTTGACAGTCACATTTATAAGATCCATGGAGATCTGTACAGGTGCCTGCATTTCTACAGGGAAGAAGCAGTTCACATTGCTTTAGGATATTTTCACAGTTTCTGCCCACATAACCATATTCACAAGTACATGAATAATCATATGAATCAGTACTCTGGCACATTCCGTGAATGCAAGGTTTTAAGGCACAAGGATCATAGGGAGTCGTCGTAGACGGTGAAGTAGTGATTACAGTAGTCAACTTGGTTTGATTAGGATGCAAAACGTTGCAGTCGTCTATATTTGTAGAGTCTATAGCTGACTTTAATATATCCACATTTGCTGAAGACACTCCAAGCTAAGAACATAATGAAATATGTTTTATTCAGGTACCTTTCATAAAAATTTTCCGGAAAGTTCACGATGAACTTACATCACTAATACAACCATGAAAAGTTCTGTTCACAGCAACATTTTTGTTCACTATAATTCTTCTTCGATCTACACCTCCAAGGTAAAGGGGTGTATTGAGTGTCATCGTGCGGGAAATTCCAGGAGACTTGCCTCCTATTGTAGGTTCTCCATTTATAGTTAAATTCCCTTCCCTGAATTCTCTACTTATAGAGACATGCGTCCACACACCAGGTTGGAGAATATGGTTTGATCTAATGATTGCCAAACCGGAACCAATATCGTACCGAAACTCGATGCATTTATCCTTGATTATTAACGCCACGAAGTCTCCAAGTCCTTCATCACTTTGGGCGCAATACATCAGGATGCCATCCTTGTTATCCAGAGGATTGAAGTTTAAAGCTATTTTCAACCTACGATAACATATAACATATTGAAGCAACTTTGTTACTTGAATAATAGGTATAAGAGTTAGTTCCTGTTAGTGGGAGAAATATTACAGTTAATGGATAAATTATGAAAAAATGAGGAGACAAACAAGTTTTCTTTTGCTGTGTAACTTACCTTTTGAATGTTCATGAACCGCGAAGATGGGTAATCAGCAAAATGAATATTTAATTCAGCAAATATCCTGTTAAATCAATTTTTATTTGCATCTCAAGACATATATTTATACTTATAGCATCGCTCGAAGCCCGCCGAATACATATAAACGGTCATTCTGGCCCTAGAAACACACCACTTCTGGCACATACACCAAACAGGTTCTTACAAAATAAGTACAAACATTTTAAGATGTGCCTGATTTTAGATGTGTGTATGTGTTTGTGTGTATGCTTAGTACACAAGTCACATATAATGCCACAAGACTAACAATTCTTTTAATAAGCTCTTGATACTACTGTAAAATGCATTTTTCTTTTGGCAGTGACCTAATCAATAGCTTATTTTAAACAATAATTAAAATATCTAACACGATGCGTTAAAATGTATTATTCCAAAAGCTGTACAAAAAACCCTTTACAGTCCACAGGACAAATTGAAAGTCATCTTAATGAAAAAAGGTTCTATCAACAAAAATTGTCCTTGAAATATGTTGCTATAAAAAGAGGTCTGTAAAGGGTCATTATATGAAAAATATATTGACTGATATTCTAATATTACAGCACCATGAGGTTCATTCCAAGGAACTACTCGCTATACAGGCTCCAACATAATTATCTATGACACATATGAGGCAGACACAAAGAAAAAATCTAATTGTAAATAAAATTCTTATAAAAAAAATATATAATATACATATACATATATATAAATAAATATAAATATATATATTTATATATATTATATATAAATAAATA